ACTTATGGAAAGTGTTCCTTAAAAAGTCCATAAGAAGAATCCTAATAATTCAATAGAAAATTATAAAATGATCACTAAATTTATGAAAGCTGATTGAACTCATGAGAACAGAAAAATGCAGATTAAAGTGAGACTATTTTGCAGAGATGCCGGCATACACAGGACGTATGGGAGGATGAGAAGAGATGGCTGGTAGTCCTGTGGACTGACTGGCACTCACTGCTGGAGTCTAAGGGTAGTGGGTTTGGGAATTGCTAGCCAATGATGTTTCCAGAGCCTTCCAGCCCACTGCTGAAAGCCCCTGAATTATTGATATAATAAGACTCCATGTCTGTGTCGTTTTTTGAATAGTCACTGCACAGCTGTTTTGGATTAGGCCTACCCAGGCCACTACTGCCTCCCTCCTCCCATTCCCTGGTTGGTAGAGCCTTTCCCAGACAGTAGGTTCTCAGGCCAGATTTAGACTTTCATTCTCAGGTGGTAGTGGTGGTTGGTAGTACAGTTGCCCTTGAATAAAGCAAGCCTGTTTACCCACCCCAAGTCAACAGTAGTTGGCCAAGGTGAAGTTGAAGCCATGAAATAACAGACACTGGGCCAGGCACAGTGGCTCATGCCTGTAATCCTAGCACTCTGGGAGGCCGAGGTAGGTGGATTGCCTGAGCTCATGAGTTCAAGACCAGCCTGAAGCAGAGAAAGACCTTGTCTCTAAAGAAATAGCCAAGTGTTGTGGCAGGTGCCTATAGTCCCAGCTACTTGGGAGGCTTTTGAGGTTGCTGTGAGCTGTGATGCCATAGCACTCTACTAAGGGCAACAAAGTAAGACTCTGTCTCCAAAAACAAAAAAAGAAAGAAAGAAACAACAGATACTATAATAAACTTGACTAAGTGCAATGTTAGATATGGAGAAAAAACCAATATGGCTTGTGACACCATAAAGGAAGTAGGCTGTCCTTGTGTTTAGGCAGTCCCTGTACTCAGAGGTAGGTTACGGGTTCAAATGGGGGCAGGAGTCTATCCTGCTGTCATATACTTCCCTCTAGAACAGTGGTTCTAATGCCACGGCCCTTTAATACAGTTCCTGTGGGTCACAACCCACATGTTGAAAACCACTGCTCTAGAACCTAAACATCTTTTTTTTTTTTTTTTTGAGGCAGAGCCTCAAGCTGTCTCCCTGGGTAGAGTACCATGGCATCACAGCTCACAGCAGCCTCCAATTCCTGGGCTCAAACGAGTCTCCTGCCTCTGCCTCCCAAGTAGCTGGGACCACAGGCGCCCGCCACAATGCCTGGCTATTTCTTTTTTTTTTGGTTGTAGCCATCATTGTTGTTTGGTGAGCCTGGGCTACATTTGAACCTGCCACCTTAGGTGTATGTGGCTGGTACCTTAGCCACTTGAGCCACAGGTGCCGAGCCAGAACCTAAACATCTAGTCGAATCCTCCTGGCCTTTAGAATGTGCTTCCCGGGTGTACCTTCCTCCATCTCCTTTCTCTGCCCCAAATACAACATGGATAATATACTCTGTAACAAAGTACAATCCAGGCTCAGCGCCTGTAGCTCAGGGGCTAGGGCACTGGCCACATGCACCAGGGCTGGCAGGTTCAAACTCAGCCCAGGTCTGCCAAACAACAATGAAAATGACACCAAAAAATATACCCAGGACTCAGTGCCTGTAGGTCAGCAGCTAGGGCATCAGCCACATACACCAAAGCAGGTGGGTTTGAACCCAGCCCGAGCCTGCCAAACAACAATAACAACTACAACCTAAAAATAGCCAGGCGTTGTGGCAGACCCCTGTAGTTCCCGCTACTTGGGAGGCTGAGGCAAGAGAATCCCTTAAGCCCAAGAGTTTGAGCTTGCTGTGAGCTGTGATGCCACGATACTGTACTGAAGGAAACATAGTAAGACTCTGTCTTGAAAAAAAAAAAAGTACAATCCAATTTTGTTCAGTAAGTAGTGTTGAACTCTGGGTTAGATTAGGCTATACTATGAAGAAGATAGCTGTGGACCAGAAAGAGCTCCTATACTCTTGGAATAGGGGTAGAACATGATTTTTTGGCTATAAAAAAATCGAGATTCCTTTCAACCAGAGAGGAGGAAGGAGGGGTGTCAAATCAGTGTAGGGTTAATGAAGAAGGCAGCGACATTAATAGAAATGCAAAACATTCGGGCAGCGCCTGTGGCTCAGTGAGTAGGGCACAGGCCCCATATACTGAGGGTGGTGGGTTCAAGCCCGGCCCCGGCCACACTGCAACAAAAAAGTAGCTGGGTGTTGTGGCGGGTGCCTGTAGTCCCAGCTACTCAGGAGGCTGAGGCAAGAGAATCACTTAGGAGGTTGCTATGAGCTGTGATGCCACAGCATTCTACTGAGGGAGACAAAGTGAAACTCTATCTCTTTAAAAAAAAGATAAAAACAAAAAAGAAATGCAAAACATTTTAGGTAGCAGGAACAGGTGGAGCAAGAAGCCCAGAAATAGGAAAGGAATATATAGTGTGTTCAGGAGCAGGCCAGTGAAGATGAAAGGAATATGGTAGAAGAGATATAAAAGGCCTCAAAAATATGGGAAGGATTTTAGACTAGGGAACCATTGAGGATTTTGAGGTAGGGCCAGAATTGGGATTTTGTGTGATGACTCCTTTACCAATGTGCCGAAGAAGCCTAAGGAGAAAGAGACTGAGGAGATGGCTAAAGCCATCTGATGATAGGTGCTGAGGGCAGTGAAGGTGGGAAGGAAAAGAGGTCATGACTTTGAGAAATGTTGTCAGGTGGAACAGAAGAATTTATCAGTGAAGTGGACAGGAGAGGCAAAATAAGATGTGATCGAGGGTTTAAGCTCTGTGCTTACATAGACCTGATCTCAAAGCCAGGCTCTGTATTAACCTTGAGCAAGTTACTTGACTTCTCTAAGTCTCTGATTTTTTATCCATAAAATGGAGTGTGGTAATAGGCCTTTATTTTTGTTTTATTTAAGATTTGGCATGAGCATCTCAAGGTCAGGGACCTTGTTGTCTCTGAGTGCTAGCCTCTGGAACAATAGTTCTGATGATAGTAGGGGGTGCACAGAGTAAGGAGAGGAACAGGGTCCCATCACTTGAAACAGGAGGTAAAGATAGTAAGGATGAGACTGGGCACAGTGGCTCACATCTGTAATTCTAGCATTCTGGAAGGCCAAGGGAGCTCAGGAGTTCAAGACCAGCCTGAGCCAGAGCTAGACTCTGACACTATAAGTAGCCGGGTGTTTTGGAGGGTGCCTGTAGTCCCAGCTACTAGGGAGGCTGAGGCAAGAGGATCACTAGAGTCTAAGAGTTTGAGGTTGCTGTGAGCTATGATGCCACCGCACTCTACCGAGGACAACAAAGTAAGACTCTGTCTCAAAAAAAAGAAAGAAAGAAAGAAAGGATGGTGTGGGTGCGGGTGATGACAAACAAGGAGGAGATAAGCTGAAGTTCACAGGGAGTGGCCTCCAATCTGTCAGTTGTGTAGGAGATATGCCACCTGCTGAGAGCACATGGGGCTGGAGATCCCACTTCGGCTTTCTTTTTTTTTTTTTTGAGACAGAGTCTTTGTTGTCATTGTTGTTTGGCAGGTCCAGGCTACGTTCGAATCCGACACCCCCGGTGTATGTGGCCAGCTCCCTAACCACTAAGCTAGGGGTGCCAAGCCCAGCTTTCTTTTTTTATTTTATTTATTTATTTATTATTATTTTTTTTTTTTGGTAGAGACAGAGTCTCACTTTATCGCCCTTGGTAGAGTGCTGTGGCATCAGACAGCTCACAGCAACCTCCAACTCCTGGGCTTAGGCAATTCTCTTGCCTCAGCCTCTGAGTAGCTGGGACTACAGGCGCCCGCCACAACGCCTGACTATTTTCTTTTTGGTTGCAGTTTGTCCAGGGCCAGGTTTGAACCTGCCACCTTCGGTATATGAGGCAGGTTCCCTACCCACTGAGCCATAGACGCCGCCCTCTCTTTTTATTTTTATTTTTCATTTTTTTTTAAACACCATCTCACTTTGTTGCCCTTGGTAGAGTTCTATGGTGTCACAGCTCACAACAACCTCAGACTCTTGGGCTTACGCGATTCTCTTGCCTCAGCCTCTTAAGTAGCTGGGACTATAGGTGCCCACCACAATGCGCAGCTGTTTTTTTGGTTGTAGTTGTTGTTTAGCAGTCCCAGGCCAGGCTTGAACCTGCCAGCTTCAGTGTATGTGACCAGCGCCCTACTCACTGAGCTATGGGCGCCAGGCCTCAGCTATTTTTAGAGACGAGGTCTCACTCTGACTCAGGCTGGTCTCGAACTTGAACTCAGGCAATCCATCCGCCTGGGCCTGCGAGGGTGTTAGGATTACAGGTATGAGCCACGGCACCTAGTCTCACTTTGGCTTTCTCCACTGTCATTCTTTCACTTGTGTTTTTTTAATATATGTAGGATGTGAATGCCTCATCGTTGTAACCATTGGAGCACCAAACCCTTGCTGTTCTTTGACACTGTTCTTTTGTGTTCCCAGTTGATGCTCTCAGAGTGGTTAATTGATGTTCCTTCAGATTTGGGGCAGGAATGGATTGTGGTCGTGTGTCCTGTTGGAAAAAGAGCCCTTATTGTGGCATCCAGGGTAAGTAGCTTCCTCCTGTCCCTCAGCGCCAGCTGGCCTGGTCTATATGGGGAGGGATTCTTTGACTCTGCTTCCTCACCTACCACAACAGCTGTGCCTGGAATGGTCTGGAAATGCTCTCTTGCAGGAAGGGTTTGTTAAGAGTCATCTTTGGGCTGACCACACGCCTGCAGGATGAGGGTGAGGAGGCCTTGATGCCTAATGAGAATGGTAACTTTCCTCCACACAGGGCTCTACCAGTGCCTACACCAAGAGTGGCTACTGTGTCAACAGGTTTTCCTCTCTTCTGCCAGGAGGCAACAGGCAAAACTCAACAACAGCAAAAGGTACCTACATAAAATGTCTATCAAGTTGTTTTTTTGTTTGTTTGCTTGTTTGTTTGTTTGTTTTTTGAGACAGAGTCTCACTATGTCACCCTCCGTAGAATACCATGGCATCACAGCTCACAGCAACCTCTAACTTTTGGGCTTAAGTGATTCTCTTGCCTC